ACTTTTAAATTTGATATAAATCTGAAAATCCAAGCAGTCACACGATAAAGTTTTTTTCAAGGAACTAAATTTTGTCAAATTCATGAGTGGAACATTTTCAGTTTTGTCTGTTTTGATCAAACACGCTAGGATAGCTTCCGATTTTCGAGATTCTTCTGATACATCATGTAATTTTGACGTCGATAGTTTGGGTTTTGGCCATTGACTTTCAGGTAACGAAAGAAATGCAGGGCCATGCCACCATTTCGAAGAATTTATCAGTTCTTTTGCAGAACAACCCTTTGTTATTAGATCTGCAGGGTTGAGTTTTCCTTCGCAATGTCTCCATGAACAAGGATCTGAAATTTCATGTATTTCTGAAATTCTATTAGCAATGAAAGGTTTCCATCTTTTAGCTGTACCTTTAATCCAATGTAGAACTATTTCCGAATCTGACCATAAAATGACATTTGAAATATGTAGAATATTTTTCAGGTAGTTGGCAACCCTAGCACCCACCAGTGCTCCCATCAATTCAAGGCGGGGAAGCGTTAATTTCTTTAATGGTGCAACACGTGATTTTGCCAAAACAAAATGTAGTTTCAAATTTATCTTCATCAGTTCTGTATCTCAAGTATGCGACTGAGCCATACGCATTCGGATTAGCGTCACTAAAAATGTGTAACTGAACAGTGTCCCTGTCTAAATTTGGTACATGAAAATAATATCTGGGAATTTTCAACATTTTAAGTTTTTATTTCTTTTATTTCAGAGAGCCATATTTTCCAGTCATTTTCGAGTTCTCCAGAAAAGATCTCATCCCAAGGTACCCCTTGAAGCCATAGCTGTTGCAATAAACATTTAATTCGAATTACAAAGGGTGCGATAAATCCAGATGGGTCAAAAATTTTGGCTGCTATTTTTAATACATTACGTTTGGTACATTCAGTGTTTATAGAGGACAGTAAGGGTGTTAATTCTAGTCCTAAGACATCTTCATCATTGTTCCATATTAAACCTAGTACTTTTAAGGATGTACATGGAGTGTCACTATTGAGAGAGATTAACTTTTCCTCAAGCCATTTCTGCTTAAGCTCTAGGGAATTGGTTTCGAATTTTCTTAGATTTAGACCTCCTTCAGCAAGAATTTTAACAGATTCATTTGATAGATTAAGCGCTTCTTCAACAGTTGTCGCTCCAGAAAATAGGTCATCCACGTAAAGATTTGAGTTAAGCATTTCAAAAGTCTTAAAGTTAGAATTCTTGTACTTATCAATGTGATGTTTTATTGTGCAGGCAAGGATGAAAGGACTACAAGTTACACCAAAGGTTGCTCTTGTCATTTTGTAAGAAATTACACTCTCTTTTCTATCAAGGTTTTTAAAATAAAGAAATCTCAGATAATCTCTGTCTTCTTCTGCGATTGATATTTGAAGGAATGCCTTTTCGATATCTGCCGAAAAGGCGATCCTATTTTCGCGGAATTTCAAAATAACGTCCAAAACATTTGGATTTAGATTTGGCCCTGGGTGAAGACAATCATTGAGAGAAAGAGCATCATTTGATTTTGAAGAAGCATCGTAAACGATGCGTACCTTTGTTGTTGTTTTGTCGTCTCTAATTACAGGATGGTGAGGCATATAATAAGAATTAAGTGTCGAGCTGTTTTCAGGGCATACTTCTACAATTCCTAAATGTTCTTGTTCCCTGAGAATATTGTTGTATTCTTCAAATAACATTTCATTACACTTAAATTTATTTTCTAGACTAGCAAATCTTCTTTTAGCCACTTCAAGATTATTTCTCAATAAATCGCGAGATTTGCTCCATAGTAACTTTGCCTCATAACGACCATTTTTAAATTTCAAATTATTTTGAAAGTCATTTATGATTTCTAAATCACTAGAATTCTTTTCGTTATTCTCAACAATACCCATGACTTCTAAATCCCAAAATTTCTTCAGTTCATCATTTTCACTCTCAACTGATACACTACAACAATTTATTCTTCTATCTTTTGATTCTATCTGCCCCTGAATAGTATGTCCGAAAATAGTTTCTGCAATGTATAAATGTTGCTTCCCAATTTTTTCCTACAATACCTAATTGAATTTGCCATAAAAAGTCTGACCCTAGTAAAATAGTTATTTCCCGTTCATGCCCTGTATCAGCAGGATTAAATCCTCTCATTTTCAAGCGTTGAATCAAACCTTTGTCTGGAATTTTGACTGTAGCGCCAGTTATTTTTTCAACTACCAAGGCTTCAATATTTATGGAATTGTTTGTTTGCGAAACATTTTGTAATTCAAGAGAAACTACGTCAAATGATGATTCTTGTGGTTTTCGTCCGCCAAATGAATATACTAATAAATTTTCTTTTCTAATAGGCTTTAAATTCAGTTTTCTTACTAAATTTTCTTTTATAAAGCATTTTTCTGAACCACTATCACACAAAACCCTTGCATGGATTCTGTTTTCACCACCAGAGACACATACAATACAAGTTTGGAGTAATGTAGAAATAGTTTTATTTTTCTGTTCAGAAACGCAAGATACTAAGGTTGTGGATTTATCTGCGTTAATATTTTCAGGACTTTCATGTTTTTCTGATTTATTACAGAACAGCTCATTGTGAAATTTATTACCACATTTCGAACATGGGGTTAATTTACTTTTACAGTTAGAAGACAGGTGTGATTTTAAGAAACACTTGTAACAGCGTCCTCCCTTCTTCAATTTAAAACGTTTCTCTTGGTCTGTATACCTTTTACAACCCAAGCTTGTATGATCCGAAGAGTCACAAAATACACAAAATATTTTTATAGAAGTGTTCAAGGCAGCAGCCGAAGGAACACTTTTCTTAGAAGAAAAGTTCTGATTATATTTTTGTTTGGAATTAAAATTAGTGTAAGTGTAAGTGTCATGTATTTTATTACTAGAAGAATTATTTACTAATATTGTGGCCTCACGGGCACGTAAATCTTCTCTTATAAATTCCAATAGGTCATTGACCTTATACTCATTTTCTGTATTATTTTTCTTATGAAATTCTAGAACCATGTTTTCTGGTAACAATTTTAACAGTATAGGCAAAAGTAGATGCCCGTATGAACCTGTTGTTACCCCCATTGACTTGAGATTTCTGATATGTATTTCACATTTATCATACAGATTTCTAAGTCCCCTTATATTATTTGATGATTTTACTGGCTCTAAGTTCAAAATTTTATTTATATGACAGTTTATGATTGTATCACGCCTACCATATCTTTCGTTTAACAATTTTAGGCATTCATCATAATTTTCATCAGTGAGATCAAACCCTGATACAACATTATATGCAGTACCTGTCAAAAGAGATTTCAGGTATTGAAATTTACTTATTTTTGACAAAGAATCATTGTTATCCACAGCATTCTTGAAACAGTTAATAAATTCTAAATAAGTGCTGGGATCACCAGAGAATTTTTCAATATTTAATTTCGGCAACTTAACTGCCGCAACAAATTTACTTTCGATTACAGGAGTTACAGGTACATTTTGAACTACGTTAACTTCGGTATCTGCTTTACATTTTCTTAACCTATTCTTAATTTTGGATTTCATACTCAAAATTTTATGAGAGTATTCTTCAACCGATTTTAATTCTTTTTCATATTCAGCTTTATCTTCAATCAATTTATCTATCTCTTTATCAATTTCATTTAAAGAATTTTCTTTTTCTGACAAAATATCCTGACACTCTAACAAGGAATCTGTGTCAGTTCTTTCAATCGCTGCTACCAGCAAATCTTCTGCTTTATTTATTTGTTTAGTGATTGCAGATCTGATAGCAGCTCTTTTCGACTTTAATTTGTCTATATTTTCCATATTTCAAGTAATGGAATATAACCTTATAAAATTCAACAAATAATTGTAACAAAAATTAAAGTACAGTATTTCAATATTTTAAGCACTTCCTTTAAAAACAATATACTTATAGTCCACAAATTTCCTTCGATTAAGACCAATTAATTTTTTCAAGCATCAATGAAGTATTATTCTTTCAAGTAATATTTCAATAAATCAACATAAATATTCAATACTTTTATTCAACTCAATCATTATTTTTCAAGGTTGAATACTTCAAGAATGAAAGAAAATGGCTTACCTGATATTTTCAGGTATCCTTCCATTATTCCAGCATAGAACTATATTCAACTATATTCAGTTTCGATTTTAAAGTATCTAAAGGTCCGGGAATTTCGGCACCAAAAACATGTGTATAAAAAATTGTCACGTTTATGCTCACGAATTCACGATTCTATTTTTTTTATATAAAAACAAAACATTTAATGAAGAGCTTATGTACATTATTTACATTATTGAAAGCACAATCATACATATATTATAAATTTTCCCATCATAGGGCCAATATTCGTTTATCAAGAACAATTACCGCTATGCGGCCAAGAACAGATCATTTCAAGGCGTCGCCCTCAAGCTAACTAAAAGAGAAGTGTATTACATTCCTTCTCTGCCGCCAGTCACGTGACCTAGTCGGCGACAGACGATAAAAAATAAAAGAAAAAATGAATCCATCGGAGGGAAAAAGAAATAATTTCAACAAACATAAATAAAATAAATTTTAATATAGTTTCATAATTTCACAAAACATTTTATTTCATCCTGAGTAAAGCAACCATTTAAGACAAATCTTTGCAGTTCTGCTGTTTACACCTTCTCAGTTTAAATTTTATTTTGATACATAACTGCGTTTTTACTTCTTATCTATATTAATAAAAAGCAAAATATTTTTAAATCTCCTAGCTAACTAATTGTTAAGTTAAATAAAAAAATTATAAACTAGCAATTATGAGTATATAATCATAATTGGAGGCTTAGAACTATGAAAGATAGAAAAATATGTCTTCATTTTCATACTGCATTTAATTCATTATCGATGGCAACATTTTATACGTACATCTTGCGTCAAATATTCTATCTATCAATAATAAAGAGAGGATTTTCTTTATGTAAACCTATGTACTGATAAAGTGAAACTATTGCATTTTGATTTTGTTTCAAAATGATAATTGTGTACCACACTGATCAAATTTTAGAAGATATTTTAGTCTAAAGACTCCAGAAATTACACAATCATATATGTGCAGCATCATATATTTAAAACACATATATTGGTAAGTTATCAGTTGTCATTTACCTATCACATTAAAAGAAAGCATTTACGTAATTTTAGCTAAACGTATTGTTTAGGAAGTTTGAATGGCGTCCATTTCATGAAGAACACCTCCAATATTTCAAGCTCTTATATATAAGATCTGATTTGTGTGTAAGCCGTCATTTATTTTGTGAAACGTTTGAAAATGTGCAAAGTCCACTTATGTATGTGAAGTTATATTTTATTCGATCTAATGCGGTATTGTGTTTGAAATAGCAGCTGTGTAGTCTTCTTAAGCATATATACCAATTGTTAGGGATTGGAAAAAAGCAAGTAATAGGGGCAAGAAAATTGTGTTGATTAAAATCCAGACTGTTTAGACTTATCATTACCATTGATTTCATTACTCATAAATTATGCCGCATTTCCTTTTCCATCTTCCAGCATTTCTCTTAATAGCACAAAATAATTGAATAATTAATCACAGTAATAAATTAGCTTTATAAACATCTTTTGTCTTTCAAATCTGCAGTTTAGTTTGACTAGTTTCATTTCCATAAGTAAAACTTGTGTGAAATCATTCACTTCGAACTTTGCAAGACGAAACAGATATAATTAATTAACATAAGCCGTCACAAATTTCGATTCTTGTCTTCGAAGTTGTTCGAGTGAAAGCTCGTGTCTGGAGGAGACGTGTCAAGATTTAAATTATTTGCAGAGAAATATCGGAATTCGGTTCACAGGAGTTGAAAGAGTACATACGAAGGAACTAATTAAAAGATATTTATACTCACGTTGAATAAATTTCATACAAATACAATTTAATAGCGTTGTATAATTCTTGATTGAATTTTTATTTATATAAGATAAATATCATTTTTATTAGGTTATTCAGTAGTACATAAAAATCGTACATATAAAATCTCTTACAGGTTTATTCTCTTTCGGATGCTTCATTTTCGGGCAAGGCAAATAAACTAACCCACTTAAGCTTTATGGCTTTAATTTTTGCCATTATTACTCTTCGAAACGGAAAATTATCTTTCATTTCTTGCAATCCGAAGACAAAAAAAAAAAAAAAAAAAAAAAAAAGCAGTACATCCACTAAAGAGCTAAGAATTCTTCCACCAACTCGAGATAAATTCACCTTTTGTTACTCATGCTTCCTTGATGAAAGAAAAGACTATAAAAAATTCTTTAGTTTTCTTAAGAAATATTCATGAAGAATGCAGACACAGAACTTTAATCAAAAGATTGTTTGTACCAACAAACCCAACTACCTGCGTCCACTTAACCTTTACTATTATTAGTATTTATTTTGCAGAAAACAAAAAGGACACCAAGAATATTCCATGCATTGTGATTGCCCGATAAAATTTATTCAATAGACGGAGAATAATAAGTTGGATGTGTGTAAAAAGATTCTAATCTAATTAATCTTACAAGATTATCTTCATTTTTTTTTCTCCCATAATTTAATGGAAAGGTAATTTTAAAAGGCTAAGTATTTCAGATTTTTAAAGTTGCTGAAATCCAAGCCTAAAAAAGAATTTTTAAGTAAGGTATCAATCAGGAACCCAACTGTTTAGGAAAACATTATATTGGCAGTGATTTCTCATTTAATGTTATTGATCAAGTGCTTAAGAAATTTTTATCTCATTCACAAAAAAGCGCTTTTTTTGGTCCAAACGATAATAAAAAGTTAGCAATTATTCCATTTTTCTCTTCAATTAAATACAGAATTACTCATATTTTCTTGAATTCACTTTCGTCGCTTTGCTTACTGATTGGTTTACTGATTGCTTACTGATCGCTTTGCTTACTGATTTACTAAAGAACGGGTATGAAAGTATGTGAATTTCTAGGGTTATTTATAGTATTTATTATTAGCGATTCTATAGAGACATTAGTTTTTTTTTTTTTTTTTTTTTTTTAAATCAGTAAACTGAAGAAATCCGCAATGCTTTCACCGGAACTCGAACCTGGACCTAACGAATACACGCCGAGTGTACTACCACTACACCACGATGGCATGCTGAAAAGAGGGAGAACATTCCTTATAAAGCTTAATGAAATTTGGATCAAATAGGCTAGTTCTATTATACGGTTGAAACGTCATCATACTTCCTATTTCTCTGCAAACAGTATTATTCAAATAACTTGTCGCATTAGATTTACTGGAGGATTTGCACATCCGTAAAAATCTTTGTGCTTTCGTTAAAGATTGAACTTACAATCCTCATTTAGCTTTAAAATTTAAAAGGCTTCATTCTTTGCTTATTTCTCTTTCGCTGTATTATCAATAGATGGCAGTAGGCATTTTATTTCCATTCATTTTTGCAGTAATTTTCTCCAGCCCTTCTTTTTGTGTTTGCGCGCGATTTTGTGGCTTCATTTTCTTATTTGTAACAAATGAACAGTATTAATTACTGTATTTATTCTGTAAATTTTGCTTAGGTTGCACCAATTTTGGCAGCTTTATTTTTCATTTCTTTTGAATTAAATGTAGCCTCATGAAAACATACCGTATTTATCGCTTTTTCTTTCATACCAATCAATATTTGTAAATATTTTAATCCTTTTTATAGCATTATTGATTTTATGTATTGTTGTAATATTTTATATTGTTACTCATTTATTTGGTTTATTTATTGTTTTCATAAATGTAATTTTAAGGTTTATTTTGCATTTAATATAATTTGTAGACACAAAACTTGTATTTAAGTGTTTATTTGTTACATAGAATTGCAGATATTTTAACTCTGTGCGCAACGACGGTTTTAGTATCGTAAAAATAGCTCAATTAGAACTCGAGGATATAGGCAGTTTTGTTCCTAACGGATCTTGGGGAAAATGTTTGTCGCCAAGTAAGTGACATTTAGCGATTTCTATCGGCTTGGCGGCTTTCTAGAAGATTCGCAAAAACACATTTTCGAACCCTACGACCGAAAGTCTTCCAGAAGTTTCCAGAGCTTTTACTGCAGAATATAAATAGCTTGAGAATTCAGTTGTGAAACATTTTGAATAGTCTTTGAGACTTCGCAGTTATTGTTATTCCTGAGTGATCAGAGGAATATTAAGCATATGTTAAGGACAAATTACCGAATACCAGCGTTCTCCTTGCGTTATTTACAACCATCATTGTGCCATGTGAACTACTTTCTGTGTCTGTTTCCCTTATAAATTGTTTATTTGTTTCTGTTTATCTGGACTTATTATTAAAAGAAACATCAACGATCGCTTAGCTCGCAGTCTATAAATTATGGACTACAAGATCTGCATTTATATTTCTAAATATATCGACAGCCAAAATTGGAATGATGCAAAGTGAAATTCTAGCAACATTTTTTACGTTTGTTTCTGTGTTGTTTATTTCTTACTTTCTCTTTCTTATTCTTTTTGAGGTTCGAAGAGTTAGTTAGCCATTCCATTCGGCGAGGTTTCACCTTACACGAAATTGTAAACTTACCAAAACTGTGTGTACCAAAACATAGTCCTCCATGCAAATGAACATGGAGTTCGATTGAACCTCTCAAATGTGTCACACAGATACAAACATCTCATCCTTTAATAGCCACGCAGTCACAATTCGGCCAAAATGTATACTGTCGTGTGACATTCTAGCATGAAATCATCTCACACTATGATGCTTATCACACATCAGCCATTATCTTCCTTTCTCTTGGAAAGACAAAAGAGAATTCTCTTTAGATAGAAACATTCCGAGACCAGTCTATAAACTGTACCACAACTCATCAGAAAGCAGAACAGCGATCCATCATTGTATCCAGGAATATGTTCGCATAACCATGAAAGTTGCGTTATATTATTAACAGTGGTGAATGATATAGATGCAACTGGTCATCTGTTGTAAGACAGTTTCTTGCTAACCGTCTTCACAACAATATACACCATATATTTTTGCTCTAGAGGCAACTGTAAATTCAAGAGAAACTTCTTGTCATTTTCTACCTGTGGTGCTCAGATACTCTCGGATGACGTTAACCTAATCTTCTATTGAAATGGGAATGGTACCAACTATAATTAAATAAATCATATTTACTTTCTATTCAAAAAGTAAATAGAGTAAATGCAGTAGTAGCTTTAGTCATTTTAGTCAGAATTGACTTAAACCTTAAAATGTACAAGCTTGATGTAACCAACCTTCAGCAGAAATCTCAATTTTATAATGAAAATGCTCAAACCAATTTTGTCTGAGACTTAGAAAAACTATTTTAAAAATAACAGCAGTTATCCAGAAGGAAGTTATAAAAAGAGATATATGAGCCAAAGTAAGTCGTTGTTTAGTATGGCGAGAAGAAAATTCAAGATTAGGTGACGTCAGTATTCCGTTTCGAGTTGATAAATTATTCTAGAAGTTAGTTAAAATATAATTTCGTGGGTGATTTAAATACTTTAACTACATCAAACACGATCCTAACCATTCAGTGGTCATATTTCTCAGTCATTCTCACTCTCACCCCGTAGCCTTACTGACAAAATTTCACCTCAATAATTTTTCCGACCGACCGTGTTTTACGACGCCTATGAATAAAGATCGTTGCCCAAAAATCAATCTTAGGAACGTAAAAACGTTCGACCGGGCCGTTAACTTCATTTTATCGGGGTCGTAAAACTAGAAATTCCGCTTCCAATGATATCGATGGACGAACACACAAGGGAAAAAAATGCAGGAAATAAAAAGTCCCAGTAAATGCAGGAATCAGCGGTTAGACATCCTGAAATGATTTGTCGTCCAGAATTTTTGAAATTTTCTTCCACGTCAAAAGCAACGTAGTAATATGTGGATGGATTCTATGTGAGTTTTAGTGCTAAGATTTATCCCAGTTGCTTTCTCCCAGTTCTCTTGCGGTTCGTTGGGGGATGATAAGGGACTTTGACGCCACCTCAACCTGGATTATAAATTTAGTCTCATAAATTATCCAGAGTTTCCCCTCCTCGACATATCTTGCAAAGTTAAACTCCGAGTACAACGTAAATTTGGAATATTTATCCCAT